CAGCCACTTGTTATTTTCAGCAGCTGCTGACTAGGGGACACCTGGGGCAGAGCAGCTGGGGTGCTGCTGGGTTGGTCCAGTGGCACCCAGAGCGGTGCTACGGGACCAACCGGCAGCGCCCCAGCTGCTGTACCACAGGCGGCCGGAGCAAAGCCGCGGAGCACGGGGGCAGCGGGACAGCCCAGACGCGTCTGGGCTGTCAGCTGGCCGCGCGTTCCGCCGCCGCTTTGCTTCCTCTCCCTGGTCTGCTCGAGACCAGGGAGAGGAAGTGCCCCGTTCGTAACTGCGGATCCGACATAAGTCGGATCCGCGTAACTCAGGGACTGCCTGTATATCAAGCCAATAACAAAAGTAAATGTCTGTCTTGGTTAGCAAGAAGAGATGCAGTCTCTTTGGGTCTTACAGTATTGCTTTACTGCCCGGACACTAGACTGTGTGGTATGGATTCCTGAAAACCATTTTCATCAAACTATCGATTTTTCTGATCTCATAAGATCAGCCACATCTCCAGATCAGTATATAACTTAGATCAGGGCTACTCAACTTTGCAAGCCCCAGGGGGCCACAATTATACTCACAGTGCATGCCGAGGGCCGCAATTTAAGTGTGGTTGCATATAATGCAAATATATATGCAAATAGCTTCTTTCACTCTGACAGGCATAAATACAAAGATTAAGGCAAGACTATATAACATGAAGGTCCCATTTAAGTCAGTTCTGTTGATATTAGTGAAATGCAATATTTACCTGTTTTCCACCCATGACAGCACTTTTAATGAGCAATGACAGTCCAGGAATTTAACTACAAAAACACATCTCAACAGAAGGCCATTATATTGATTACTTTTTTGTTTTGGCTCCAACCCGTGGGCCGCAAACCAACAGGCTGTGGGCCATATGCAGCCCGTGGGCCACGAATTGAGTAGCCCTGACTTAGATCTTACCCAATAATCATATTGTTGCCAATCCTTTAGTTGCTAACATTTAAAGAGCCTGTTGGTTTAATTTTAAAAGAAAAGAAGTAGTGAGTTAAAATGGTTGAGGAAATCATTGCAGTGATAATGTGCATAAATTCTTCTATCAGGTTGAAAGTAGTGCTGGAATAAATTGCTAGTTTTCAAAAGTCTTCCTGTTAGATATCCAAACAGTTTTGGGGATTATGAGTCCTTGTTTAAAGCATCCTTGTTAGAAATTCAGTCTAGAAAAATGAAGTAGGAAATAGGGATGTTATAGTTTCGTCAGTTAACCGATAATCAAAAGCTTATAGGTTAATGCTATAAACTACACACATTTTCGTGTTCCCTCCCCCAGTAAATTTTTTAGCACGCTGGCCAGCAGCCTGGCTCAGTCCAGGACCTACCTCTGCTGTGACTCTGCAATTAAAGTGTATTAGGAGCTAGGCGGGCAGCCTGGTTCAGTTCCGGCTTGCGCTGTGTCCAGGAGCTCAGAAAACCTCTTCCCCTGACGGGTTGTTGCCACCTTGCACTGCTGCCTCTGTATCAGAAGCAGCAGCACGGGGCGACAGGCAGCTGGTCTGCAAGGAGAGCTGGTTTTTAAACGGGCTCCCCTTGCAGACCAGCTCCCGTCTGGCACCCCAAGCTGCTGCCTCTGATACAGTCTGGGGTATGTATGTGATCACTCTGGGGTGTTTTTTTCAATTAAAATGGAGTTGGAAGACTGATGCCCATGCAACATTCTACTTGTAGCATACTGAAATGCCACCATGCTGTAGCTTTTGTTTTCAGCAGAGGGCGAACATGATTCTATTTGTAATCTGATGTTTTACTTCCATTTCTGTTTCAGGAGCGTAGGCTGCACAGTGGTAGAAATGCTTACTGAGAAACCCCCTTGGGCAGAGTATGAAGCAATGGCTGCCATCTTTAAAATTGCCACCCAGCCAACCAATCCACAGCTGCCACCTCATGTCTCGGACCATAGTCGGGATTTCCTCAAGCGAATTTTTATCGAGGCCAAGTTGCGACCATCTGCAGATGAACTGCTAAGACACACATTTGCACATTATCACTAACAGCCTGCCTCAACTCAGCTTGCATCTACTGCATTTATTTTCTATTTGACTGCACTTTTATTTTTATTTTTTACAGAAAAAGAAAAAAGACAAGAGAGAAAACATATTTCTCTTGATTCTTTGTTTCACTTAGATTGTAAACAAGAATCTAAATTTTTGTATTTAGAATTAGGGTCTCTTTTTCCCCTACCAGGACCTAGAACCTTTTGTTTCGGTAATGTACTGATGTGGTTCACAAAGATAAAGCACTTTAGTACATATTCATTCCTTAACTAAGGGGGAAACAGTCATATGACTTGGACTGCCAAGCACTGTGTAACGTTTGCTAACATCACCAACTGTCTCAGGATGCAGGGAAAAATACATAAGCAGCTAGCATGCAGGGAGAGGAAAATCATTACCTGTGATTTGTTCTTTGGACCGTAGGTAGTTGCTGCTGAGGGTTTTAAGATGTGTTAGCTTGTTACTCAGTTTCTGAATATATACCACATTTGAAGCATGAACCCACAGTTCTGAACATTAGACAACTGAAAGAACTTAGAACCCTCAGTAGAGAGCATTCTGCACAATAGAGAATCTCCACCATGCTTCCTTTGTGACCAAAAGAAAATAAGGCAGGAACATAACCCTTAATCAGTAGTTAGTGGGAATTAGTATAGGATTATTATGTTACCTTCATAGAACAAGAATTACTGGTAAATTAATTATCATGGATCCAAACTCCTAGAGACTGCAAAGCTCTGGGGGGAGTCTCCATAATGGAAGAAATTAAAAAAAAAATACCCAAAAGATCAACTGTTGAATAGAAATAAGTCTGGAGAATCCTTACCCCCTGCAGCTGTCAGATACACCTACCATATAATCTGTGGGAGGTCTCTTCCCTTAGATTATGGTAAAACAGTTTTTGCTTAACTGTTCATTGGATAATAAAAGACTAAACCTGACCTACTGTAAATATTATCTATCAGTAGGAACTACAAGGAATAAGCAATTCAGGATAACTGCCAGAGACTGAGAAGGAATGTATTTCTAAGGTCATGCACATGACTATAATAATCGTTCTCAGATTGTTTAACACAATTGTTTTAGTAATACAATCCAGTTGTTAGAATGCTTGAAAAAAACCCTGAAATAAAATTAATTCTAATTCCGTGTCTAATTCCATTAGTGTTAAATGACAACACTTAAGAGAAAGACCTCTTTAGTCTTGTTTTTCAAGCACAGTGATGATAAAATAAAATGCCTCTTTCCCAAGAAAATCCTTAAAACCATCAACCTAGAAACATCAGGGACAGGTCACACAGGAAAAGTGGAACATTTTAATGCTTCATGTGTGACACAGCAATATTACATGAGCACTGAATTTTGAAAATGAAGTCTAAACAAAGAGCAGCAGCGTAATGTCACGCTGAGTTTTTCATTAAAAATTACCAAAGATGTAAAAGGAACAAAGTAACTAAATACTACGAGTCTACACTTTCACAATCCAGAGTGATCAACCCACAAATGTCAGTAGTCAGTCATAAAATGTTTGTTCAGCTTTTCCTACAACAGGGCAAATCCATTGGAAAATACTGGTGAGATGCATTTAATAACTGACTTGATGTTCGAGAGAGTAGGCAAACTCTCCCGTCTTTATAAAAGAATACAATAAATAGAATTTGAGAGAGTTTGGAAATATGTTTTGACCTATATAACTGAAGTTTGATACATAGTAGTGTGGTTGATTCACTGGATGCCTCTTTTCCTTCTAGTTATGGAAAGACAATGTGTTGATGCTTTGGCAAGGCTTTGTATAATGGTCCCAAGTCCACTCTGTTTTATTTCCTTGTTTAATTCTATCTCCAATGCTTGAGGAGCATGACAATTAAAAATGAATGTATTGGGGCTACAATGAGAAATTACAATGTTGGTTCATTTGACAGGGACTTTTGAGGTTTCTGAATTTATTATTTTTCTAATTTAGTTGCCAAGTTCTGTATCAACAGCATAACTAGGAGTATGGATCTATCCTAATCCATTTACCTGTAGTAGCTAAACAGTTATTCTTCTACTGGGGCCACGATCATCGTATTTTGGGCAGGTGGCCTATTCCAGTTTTCTTTGATTATTGTCTCTCTTATCTGGTTGATTATTTTGTTGGCCGTGGTAAGCAGAAGTGTAAGGGTACATGTGCATGAGAAGGAGAGTTCAATTGGGGAAAACTCACAGGCCAAAATTTAAGTAAACTTGTGTTCACTTTCTTTGGCTTCTTTGTCACTTGAAGCTATGGAAGCAACCTTTGGAAAGAATCTGCATGAACCTTTGTGCTGTAAAGGACCTTTGCTTCATAAGCAAAACTTATCATTGGAGATAGTAGCAGAATCATGTAAAGTAAGATAGAACCTCAGAGTTATAAACACCAGATTTACAAACTCATTGGTCAACCACACATCTCATCTGTAACCAATCACATCTCATTTTACGCAATCGGGCATCAGAGATGGAGGGAGGGGAAAGCAAATACTGTACGGCGCAGTACTGTCAAATGTTAATTACTAAAAAAAAAAGTAAATGGAACTTTTTTTAAAAAACCATTTGACAATGTAAGGAAACTGCTTGTTTCGTTTAAGATGGTTAAAGCAGCATTTTTCTTTTGCATAGTAGTTTCAAAGCTGTATTAAGTCAATGTTCAGTTGTAAACTTTTGAAATAACTACCAGAACATTTTGTTCAGAGGTACGAACATCAATTCCTGAAATGTTTGTAACTCTAAGGTTCTACTGTAGACAAATAGTTTACATAATGTACAAACCATAATATCTGAAATTTGATTTCAAAAGAATTAAAAAGGTACCAAAAACTAAGCAGAAAATGTTCAAAAACAGTAAGTGGTGGACAGTGGTATCTGAAAATTTAAAAAAGTTAATATTACCAAAAATAAAGAAAATGAACTCTTAAAGGAAAATTTAATCAGGTTTAACTGCAATACTCAGAAATTTTAACAATATTCTTGGATTGATAAAAGAAACTCTGGCACTTAAGCATTTTCAGAATCTAGTTTTCTAAAAATATACCGTTTGCAAGGCAAAGTTGGCTTCTTTATACTGCAGTGTCATTTCCTAACTGTCTGAAAACAAAATAAGACTGCTGCTTTTGTGCCTTTTAAAAAGTTTGCTTTCTGTCTTGACAATGGTAAACTTATTTGAGATTGGGAAAAGAGGGAACTTGCAGAATAATACAATATTTTGAAAACATTTAGACATAGCTTTCCCCTTTAAAATACAGTTGCATCTAGATTGTAAATTATTGGACATATCCCCAAGTCACTGAGGTAATATAGTACCTCTTTAATTATGACTAATTTCACCAGCTGCTTTGTTTGTGATTCATTTGAATCATAAATAAGGAGGGTTGAACTATTATTTTTAACCTTGGGAGAACTTCCCAATTGACCAAAGTACTTACATACAACCCTTTAAACAATTACTGTATAGAATAAAAATACAGATTTTGAGTTAATAATATTAATTATTGAAGCTGGTCACATTCTGCCTTTAGAGAAACAGGCTGTGCATTCATCCCCTTGCATGCTGCTTTTTTTGGAAATCTGGTATGGTCATGTTGAGGTAAAATGAGTTTTGCATTATCTGCTTTTAATGATGATACAGTAGATCCTATAAAGCATCTGGCACGTTACTGGCACTGTAATAAAATCTATGTCTATAATTCCAAAGGTGCATGGAGCTGCATGATTAAAATCCCATTGAAGATGGTCATGAAGCACAACTTCTCTGCACCACTTTGAATAACCTACCAACTGACATTAGAGTACTTTAGAATAAGTAATTTATGAATGCTACGTCCAATAATGAAAAAATGTTAGTGGAACAGAATATTGTCACGGGACTGTGGTCTCCTGTGTGAATACCAAAGCAGAACTAGACTTACAGAAAATGCGTGTCAAATTTAATTGAGAAAGTAGAATTTTTTTTTATTACACTGACATTATTTCTGTTGTTCCTGTTTAGTAATAAATATTTAACCACTTGTTGCTAAATTGGTTTTAATAGGGAGTTAATCTCTGCATAATTTTGACATGCTGCATTCTTATTAGCTTACATTGGTTTGTAGTTCAGACAAACAAGTTTACTAATTAAACCACATATTTCTGTGTATTTTTTATAGAGCTGGTTTCTGTCTGGTAGAAATAGAGAAAAATATGAATAACAGCTGACTGGCACATACTCCATTCAGCATAAAAACAAACAGTGAGTTTTGGTTCCAGTTCAGCCCTGTCTGAGAGGAAATTGGCCCTTGATCATTTTAAGAAGAAGAATTGACTGGAATTGCAGCACATATATAGTAGCAGTACGGTTAAATCTAAACCATAAACTTTTCCTTTTTGCATTCATAATTCCTTCCATTTTGTTTTGGGAAAAAAAATTTATAATAGTTCAGGGTACATTTCTAATTGAGTTAAACTGTCCTTTTGTTGTCCTGTCTCTTTGGTAGTGCCTTTTTATCTCTATGCCTTAATTTTGTTTAGGTAGAGACACCATATTTAAATCATATGGCTGTCTAATCGTTTAGTGCCACCAAAATAGTCTTTACAAATATATACGAGGCTTCAAAACAGAACTCACTAATTGCATCAACAGTTTTACTTTAACTGTAGCAGGCTTTTAGGCTGAGAATTTACTACAGTGTTAAAATGATAAAAATACTTAGCATCTACAGTGCTCTCTCTGTTCAGAGTACTGTACAAACATTCCAGCAAAGAGGTTAATGTTATCCCCATTTTACAGATTGGAAAACTGAGACAGGATAGCTATCTTGCCCAAGAACTTATAATAAAAAGGAAGTTGTTTTGCTTAAAAAGGTACAGCAGTATTTTCTATCTTAACAAATGAGAAAATAGTTCAACTGAGCTATCTTTGTTTGAACTGATATTGTTTTCTGCTTTTAAATAATCCTAATCCTGCCATTGTCTTGAATGAAAGCTTTCCTGGGAGAAGCAGAAGGTACACAGTGCAGTGTAGTAAGCCATTCCTTCAGGCAACATTGAGCAATGTCAAACTACAGCTTCAGAGACTTAAACAAATTGGTCAGATCTACAGTTGTGTAGAACTAAGTTTGTTAGCTTTTTAATCTTCTAGTTCTTTAAACTATTATCATGAATATAAAAAAGTATATATTATGTGGTTGAATGCAAATCCATATGGTGTTTTTTGGATTAGCAAAGGTGTTACTGCCAATACCATTTCTTACCCCCTGGGAACTTCCTATCTTGTATTCATGACAAGTATGCAGTGTCAAATCATGTAAAAAAAAAAAAAAAAAAAAAACACCAAAGCTTTTCTATCCCCTCTCCAAAAGCCAAAAGTGATGTTTCATAGATTAGTACTGTTACTCACCCTTATCTACCAGAAAGCTATTGCTAAATAGACTAAACCAGGTACTAGTAAAAGTGAGATCCAGCAATGCCCATTTTTTAAGATAGATTTGGATGCTTGTTGTTGTTGCTTTGAGGTGCAAAATTCATTCCAGCATTAAAATGAAAAGCTTTGAACTCTACACAGTCTTATTGACATCACTAACATAATGCAAAATTTGGTGACTAAATTTCTTTCCTATGATTTACTCCTTATAACCAAGTTTGAGTTGGGGGGAATTTAAGGAAAGCCATGAAGTAAAGTAGATTTGTAATCTGAACTGCTTGTCGTGCCATAGCAAACAACTTCTCAGAGGTTGTTGGGTGAAGTAGTCCTTTTAATTTAAGAGCCAAATTTCACCCCCTAGAAACATGGGACTTCCACTGCCCTAAGGGGAGAGCCATGAATGTACACTGGAGGGAGCAGAATTTTCCTACCCAAGATAAGATTTCTAAGTCAAACTCTGGATCAGGAACAAAGAGTACTCTGTTTGGTTTGTGTGTTAAATTTTCTCTGACATTACTTCAGTATCTTTTTTGGATCATACTTTACGTTCTACCATTAGCAGTACCTTGGCAAAAATTGGTAGCAACAAAAGGTGTAGTTCAGTTGAGCTCTCATGTACTGAAAGGACAGAATTCAGTGAGCTCATTTTGACTAGCTCTTTTAAAAGGAGAGAAGAGACTGGATAAAAATTAGTGAATTTTTGACCTGATCACTCAGTCATGTTGGTGGAACTCCTGCTAGTAAGGATTGCAAGACCAGACTTCTTGTGTGGAGAAGAGAAGAAAAAAATGTGGGTTTATACTGAATGTAACATGGGGAATATTTCAGAAAGTTTGGCATCTTTTTTCCCTGTAATAGATCTTCTCTTCCTCCATCCCCTGAGAATATAAACGTGGATATAAAAACAAGCATTACATTTTTTTCCTGTCAGTTTTACAATAGTTAGCTTACTACTGGTCTAAATCTGTCATTCATTTTAAAATGTAAATGATTTATTAAAACTTAATGTCTGCCATCTCAGATGTCACACAGTTCATTTAATGGAATATCATTGTAAATAAATGTTGGAGACTTAGATAAATTTGAAAGTAGGCTTTTTAATTTTCACAATGCTATGAATAAATGTGTAAATTTGCCCTTTTAATCTAATGTACATTTTTTATGTAGCTGTTAAATTCTCTATATTTAATCTATCAGTTTCTCTCTGTAAATGTTTTTACTCTCAGTTGAATGCTGGGCACAGTTTGTAATGTATGTACACAAAGGTGTTTTTTTCTATCAATGTTGACTTTTTTGCACATTTTTTGAAAAAGTTTAATTAGTACACTGATTTAATACTCTGACCAATTGATGGGTGTATGAGAATCACGTATGTGTGCAATGTACTACTGTCTGGATGTGTTTTTTATTCCTTTTGAGATGTTGCTATCAGTAACTGCACTGCTGCTGTTGCTGCTTTAAATGGAATATCTTATGTAAAAGTGTATTAGCCTATGGTTATATCTTGGTTGAGGAACTCAGGAGTTGAGCATTACTTACTAGTTCCATAATGTATCTAGCAACTTTCCAAACTTTAAAGTGTACTTGTAATTCTGCGTATGAACTGAATGTGTGTGTGCGTACACATAAATATGTTCCAGCAGTCTTATTCCACAGTTTAATTTCTACATTTTTATGAACTTGTTTTTAAGGGTACTATGTTTAGTTAGAATAATTAAATATATAAAAGCTTTGAGAGATAATTTACTAGATAAATATATTTTCAGCTGGCTGATGTTCAGAAAATATTTTTTTAATTTTGTTTTTAATCATTCAAAATGTATTTGTATTTCCAAAATTGGACATGAATTGTACTTAGAAGTATATTAAAGCACTCTGGAGGGACAACAGTGTGATTTCTCTAAGAATTTTGTTAAAAAAACAAACCCAAAATGCTTAGTGTCAGTGATACAGAGAAAATAACTGTTGTGAAAAGGGGAAAGCAATCTTTGACTTCTCAAAGCTACTTGAAAAAATGTGTGAAAACAAAATGAACCTTGGAAAAGTCAGATTTTTTCCATCTCTTGTCCTTTCTGTTGCATGTAATGTTAATGCTTCTCTTTCTTTACCCTTTTCCCTTTCCAGTTTTCTGGTATTGGAAAAGATAAGCATGTTACTATATCGCTGATTGACTGGCACATAAGAAGTTCAGAACATGCTTTAAAAATGTGGCTTACTCCTTTCAAGAATACCAGTCAAACTTTTGACTTCCAATTTGTTTAACATTTTTGTGGCTTAAAAAATAAAAATCCTGTATGATGTTTAAAGTGATACCAAGTAAAAATTCTCATGCTAGGTACACAGTGCACTGCTGAATGTCTCTAATTCCATAGTTTAGGAAAAGAGCCAGTATACTCTGTTAGACACAGGACCTACTAATTGCCTGGTACGTGTGGTTTCTTCCACTTTTCATGCACATTTTGACTTTGTTACATTCTCAAAATTGTGCTTGTAAAAATGTATAAACTTTTTTGATTTTTTTTTTTTACTTTTGTATGTATTTACCTGTTTTTTTTTCTTGCTGGTAAATGGCTTTTATTTTGTTTGGGGGTTTTTTTGTATCTGATGTTAAAAGACGCCATGTTTATATTTTGTGTTTGATCAATGACTTTGTTTATATGAAATTTGTATATTACTGGTACACATCTTTGTTTAGGTTGATCATGCATGAGAACCTGCAAGAATTAGCACAATGAAAGATTGCTTTTTCTTCCAAATTTTTATTCATTTTTGAAAGGTTATGGTGCAGAGGTTTACAGGATGTAACCTTATGAACTATGGAACAACTATAGATAATGGCACTTTGAGTGTTAATAAAATATTTATTTCCAGTTTATATTTCTCTTGATTTGTCTCCAAGACAGCAAATATATGTATTCACATATTACATTTGCTTGCAACACTAGACAAGTAACATATCTTCTAAGTAAAGCAAAATATAACATGCAAGTAATGGTACCAAAAGCATCTGTCTACACCCAAGCTAGAAAGTTTAAATCTACAACAGTCCTCTTTTATAGATGTGAAAAACCCTCCCTCATGCTGTAAAACAAATGCCTCTGATTTTTTGTTACACAAAAATTCACCCTGCCCCCCTGCTCTTGTGCAAGATTTACAGTAGGGCAGCAGAAGACAGGGCTTCTTGTGCAAGAGCTATGCTCTTTTCGGACAAGTGTAAGCCTTCTTGCCTAAGAGGGCAGTGTGGACGTATGGCAAGGGTTTCTTCTGCAAGAAAGCCCTACAGCTAAAATAGCTGTCAGAGCTTTCTTGCACAAGAGCTCGTCCACACTGCCATGTGCAAAGCTAGACCTGTTCTTGTGCAAGAACCTACCAGTGTAGACGCAGCTGAAGTGTTAAAATACCTGTTTTTATGACTTAAATCGAAGAACCATGGCCCTGATTGGGCAATTTTTTATGCATGGTCACACTACTAGCTGTGTAGGAAGCTCCGCTGAAATGGGCGGGGCTGCAGCAACCTGCCCCTGGCTCCAGCGGCGGGATTAGCATCTGCTACCCGCATTGGACGTTTCTGATTGGACCCATCGTTCTTGCGAAAACGCGGAGGGGCGGGACCCGCTCCCCCAGGTGTTTATGACCCTGCCCCTGGCTCCAGCGGCGGGATTAGCATCTGCTACCCGCATTGGACGTTTCTGATTGGACCCATCGTTCTTGCGAAAACGCGGAGGGGCGGGACCCGCTCCCCCAGGTGTTTATGACGTGGGAAGGGGGGGCGGGGCCTACCCCCTAGGTGTCTATGACGAGGGGCGGGGCCCACTCCCCCGGGTGTCTGTGACGGGGGAAGGGGCGGGGCTCGGCCGAGCTGGGAGGGGCGG